AAACTGCCAGAGCCAATTTTCGTGAAAGGAGAAGGGGACATTTAGGATATGACGCCGAGTAAACAGGACGTGGTGCCTCCCATCTAAAGAAGAAATTGGAACTAGGACTTGGGGCCCTTGGGCCTAGACACTTTGGACGGTGCCTGAAATTTCGTTGTAGGAGGACTGGGTTGGTCGCCTTCTTTGAGAGAGGTGAATCCTTTTAAACGAATATCCATCCTGGATTCTACGCGGTGTCCCACTGGCGTGGCGTGGCATAGAGTCGGATGGGCAGGAGGGGAAGAGAAGGTCTTTGGAAAAGGTAGGAGGCTCCGGATAGGGACACTGCTTGCAGGGGCGAGTTGATGGGGAAAGGGAGACCGAACCGGGAGGGGCAGCCTAGGTTTAGCTGCCATCTTCAGCTTTTCCAGTTCTGCCTCCTGCAGTCTTTTTGCCTTGGCCCTGCGGTTCTGGAACCAGCTTTTGACCTGGGTCTCTGAGGTTCAGAGAGCTGGAGAACTGCGCATGCTCTGATGGAGAGGCGCCAGGAGCTGGGATGTGGCGAAGAGGCTGGCCATTGGTCTTGTGTTTCCTCAGGGTGCAGGTGGTGGAGCTTCCCTCTAGACAGAGACGGGTCACCATTAAGAGTTGAACTGTGTTGCTCAAAAAGATGTTGAAGTCCTAATTCCCAGTACCTCAGAATGTGATCTTATTTAGAGATAAGATCTTTATAACTAGTTAGGATGAGGTCGTACTGCATTCAGGGATGGGCCCTTAGTCCCCTATGACTGGTGTTCCTGTAAGAAGTCAGTCTGTGAAGACACAGAGACAAAATGCCATGTGCAGACAAGAGGTAGATACATCCTACATGATGTGGCCACAAGCCAGGGAGAGGAGAAGGCAATATGAAGACAGAGGCAGAGATTGGAGGGAGTGAGATCACTAGAAGTCGGGCCTTTTGGTGGTGATGGGCCGCCAGAATCTGGAAGGAGCAAGAAATGCATTCTCCCCTAGAGCCTTTAGTGGAAATGTAACCCTACTGACACTTTGATTTTAAACTGATGACATTTAGAACTGTGAGAGAATAAATTTCAATCATCTTATGCTCCTGGTTTCTGGAAATTTATTATGCAGCCACAGGAAAATAAATACAAATGGCTAAATGAAAAAGACAATAAGAAACATTGACAAGGATATTTTGAAATTGGAATCTTCCTACATTGCTTGTGGGAAACAGTTGCAGTTCCCTACAATGTTAAAAATAGAGTTAGCATAAGACCTGAGAATCTCACACTTCCATGTATACCTAAGAAAAACAAATTTATATGTCTACACTAAAAATTGTGCCTGAGTGTTCATAGCCTCTCTATTCATAATGGCCAAAATGTGGCTACAGCCAAATGCCTGTTAACTGATGTGTGGATAAGCGTGGCAATAAAGTAGTGAATGATACATCCTACATGGATGAACCTTGAAGACATTATGCTAAGTGAAAGACGCCATAGCGACCACATGTCATGATTCCACTAACATGAAATGTCTGGAATAGGCAAATCCATGGAGAACCCAGTTGATTAGTGATTGCCTAAGACTGAAACAGGAGGAGGAGTGCAAAGTGACTGCTAGTAGTTAAAGGATTTTTTATAGCAATGAAAATGTACTAAAATTAGATAATAGTAATAGATTTATAACTTTAAAAAAACCATTAAATTTTATACTTAAAGAGTTAATTTTACTGTTGAGTTACCAAGACAGGTCACTTAATATCATAATTTTTAAGGCATTCTTTCGTCTGTTCTTTCAGTTTGCCTTTAATGAGTATCTATAATGTGCCAGATCCTCTTCTAATCTCTAAGAACATGATGGTTCACCAGCTTAGTCCCTTGGAACCTGTATTTTAGCAACTATAGAAAAAACGGAAACTTATTGAATGTGAGGTCATATGAAGGTGATGATKTGGCCCTATCCCTAGGTATGGAGTTAAGTGTGCAAAGTTAGAATGACCACCAGCAGGCTGGGAGATTGTGGCTAGCTGACCTGTTTCTTTTTAGTTTCTTTTCTTTCTCTTTTCTGCTGTATTTGCAACCCTCTTAGCAAAAACCTAGAAGGGTCATGAGAGTATCCCTGTTCATTTTGAACTGCTTCYGAGACCACCATAGCTGTTACTAAAGTCCTTGAGCAGTGCTATACTTGAACTCCTTTAGTCCAGCAGTTGCCTTAGCTTTTTGAACAGAAAGAAAGCCTTTGTTCTTCCATCTAACCTACTGCTATGTCTTCTTCTTTGTAATGGGGGAGTTTTTCAAAYGTCTTAAGGAAACTCCCTTTTCTACAGATGTTTTCAGTCTTCCACACCAAACAAGAAGTTTCCATAGAAGATGGGAAGAGTGAGTTGGTACAGATGGGGTTAGTCAGCCTGGACAGGGAATCTGCTTTCCTGAAGTTCCTGCCTATGATGTGACTTGTTCAAGCCCCTGCCCCATTCAGGAAAATCTGGCAGCCCTCTTCTGGCTTTTCTTCCAGTAATTAGTAGTTCTGCAGTTTGATGTATTCTCGCTTCTGTTTGTAGATAAGATGCAGTGTATTCAAGCTGAGAAAAACAACAGGGGCCCGATGGAGGCTGCCTCACTTTTCCTACAGTTCCTTTTGGAACTCCAGGAGGAAGGCTGGTTCCGTGGCTTTTTGGATGCCTTAAACCAAGCAGGTGAGTTCATTCTTCTTACAAATCAGAGCTTATTTCTTTGTTTTGTCAGAATGCTATAAAAGTGAAGAGCTAATAATTTTGAGGTATTCAAAATACTATTTTCAGACTCATAACATACTTGTCTATCTGAAACATCCAAAGGAATCTACAGAGATTATTGTAACTAATGTGAGAGGTTAGCAAGGTCATTGGATGTAAGATCAATATACAAAACTAGTTGCATTTCTACCTGGTGGAAGCAAACAGAAATGAAATGCCATTTATAATAGTAATAAAAAGATGATGTATTGGGCAATAAATCTAACAAAATATTTGTAAAATCTGGATGGAGAAAATGATACAATGTTAGTGAGAAACATTATAGACATCCTAAGTAGAGAGGTACATCCCTGCACATGGAAAGTAAGACTTGATACCATTATAATGTCAGTTCACCTTATTTTTATCTGTATATTTAATGCAATTCTAATAAAAATCTTATATGCCTTTCCAATGGGCTTAACAAACTGATTTTAAGATCTATATGAAAGAATCATGATCTCAGAATAGTCAAGACACCTTTGCATAAGAATTAGGTAAATTGGCCTTTCCCTTCTGGGTGTTGAGATTTATTAAAAAGCTGGGCATGGTGGCATGCACCCATATTTTCAGCTATTCAAAATTATTGCTTGAATCCATGAGTTTGAGACCAGCCTAGGCAACATGGTGAGACCATCATCTCAAAAACAACAACAAAACTACAGAGTTTCTTACAGAGACCCACRCATCTGATATTTTAAAGACCACTGGGAACAGAGGATCACTGGGAAATGGGGAACTATTCAATAAATAGCAGTTGACCATTATAATTGAGATAATGTTAAAAAACAAATACACCCTAACTTTCAGATCCACATAGATATAAATAAATTTGTATTTCTTACTTATGAATTTAAGAGAATTTAAAGACTTAAATATAACAGCCAATTTTTAAGCCATTTTAGAAAATAACAGAATAGTTTTCTTAYATGAGGGCATGGCAGGATTTGTGAAACAAGATATTAAAGCATTAGCCATAAAAGAAAGCTTGGTAAATTTGATGAACTGTTCTTAATTTAATGTTTTCATAAGTCACTTAAAGAAAGTAAAAAAAAACAAAAACAAGTCACAAGGTGGGAGAGGATAATTGTAAAATATATACTTACCAAATAATATTTTAAAATCAATCAAGAAAAGGAAGAAAACACTTACTGACCAAAAGATGTGGACAGATATTTCAAAGAACAGGATGTATGAAAGGTGAATAAATAAATGAAAAGATTCTCAGCCCATTTAGCAATTAGGAAACTATAAATAGGAACCCACTGAAGCAGCATTTTTTTAACTACTCAACAGCAAACTTAAGTCCAACAGTGTGAAGGTGTGAAGAAGACATTTAATAATGGAAAATCTTAAATATTGCTTAAATATTGCTATATACATAAACAGACACAACTCTTTTGAAAAACAATTTGACATTGTCTGGTAGAATTCAACTGTCATTTTTCCCTTTTTCCAAGTTTTATTCTTTAGTTTATGCCCTAGAAAAATATACATTTCAGAATACACATACCATAATGTTTGTAGTATAATTGTTTGTAATAACAAAAGCAAGCAAACAAAACTGGAAGCAACCCCAATATCCTCATAGAGAAGAATGGAAAAGCAAGTTTTATAATGTTCACACAGTAGTCCATTAAACTACAATAAAAATGTGTGAACATACCTCTAGATGACAACTCAGAGAAATCTTAGAAATGCAATATTTAATTTTTTAAAAAGTCAGAGAAGCTTAAATGTCATAGGATATAATATTTATGACGTCCCAAACAAATTAAACTAAACATACATTGTTTAAGGAAGCAAACATATGTCATGTGACCATTCCCAAACAAACAAATCAKGAGTGATATATCAAATACACAATAGTGATTTCTTTGGTGAGGGGATAGAAAGCTGGGGAAGAGAAGGTATACACAAATGTTAAGATATTCTTGTTCTTAATATAAGTAGTGGGTTCACATGTGTACATTTTGGTGTGTTTTTTATGTGTTACAAATATTCTATTACGTTATCAACCATTGCAAAGCTTTTTTAAAAAATATTTATTTTTTAATTGTAGTTGGACACAATACCTTTATTTTATTTATTGTTACGTGGTACTGAGGATCAAACCCAGGGCCTTGCCTATRATGGGCAAGCGCTTTACYRATGAGCCACAACCCCAGCCCTGTTGCATATCTTTTAAATTTCTATTTTTAGAGCTATGATATATTTCTCAGTCTTTCTTGTCCACACCTATAAAGTCAGTCTTACCCAGAGATATGAAAGACATCTTGGAAATCATCTGACCCAACCTCCCTCCTGTACATGAGGAAACTAAGGCCTTGAGAGAAGGTTTGCTCAGGGTCACACAGATAATTGGCATTTTTGCTAGAGTTAGAATGTAGGTCTACTGATGGCTTTCTGTTGGGGTAATTTGTTGCACTGAGATATTAGACTGTGAGAGTAGGCATTGAGTTTCAACACCAAATCAGCCACTTAACTATTTAAGGGATTTTAGCCAAGTTAGTTGCCTTTCTGATTCTCCAGTTTACTCATTTGTCAAAGAAACCAAAGGATAATTTTCTTTTTGTGTTGTAAACAATGAGTAAGAGACTCATATATGAAGAACCTAGCACAATGCATACAAAGAGGCACTAATCAAAATATAGCTGTTATACAATTATTATTTGCATTGTAGTAGAATGATTTAAAACTGGGCAAATTAAGGAAAACTTGTCATTACTACAGGAAAACAAATTCTGATGATGAGGTGTCTTCTATTACCCGTGTCCTCATATTGTAACACCAATATGTTAAATTAGCACAATGTTAAAAGCAAAACACACACTGTCCTTCCCTAGGTATTAGAATTCCTCAAGAGGCCCACATATATATAATCAGTATAATTGCAGTTCTTTTATGAAAATTGATGTGGTTTTATTTTTCAAAAAAATTTAGGTGAAAATGTTTAAATATTGGTTCCAATATTGTGAACTGAAACTTTTCTGCTTTTGTTTATAGGATTAAAAGTTGTTGACTTATTTTCTTTCATTTCCTAAACTTGCCCTAAAATTTCTCTAAATTTGTTACTGTAATATATGCCTATTTATTCCGAACAATTTAAATGGTACAGAAGGGTCAAGTGAGCCTCCTTCTGTTTACCTTCCCCACTACCTCTTATACAACCCTCTTCAGAGAAACCACTGTTTCTCCATTTGGGGGATATACCTAATCTAGGTTATTATGAGTTACTAAAACCCCTTATTAATTTATAAGTAAAAATGGCACTTCTAAATTCTACTTTAAAATAAAATGAGGTTTAGCAATAAAAATATAAGAACAAATAGGCAAGAAAAGAAACAAAAGTAAATTTGAACAGGAAGAAATAAAATATCTTTGTTTGCAGATGAGATGGTTTATGTAGAAAACTGTAACAATTTTAAAAGAACTGTTAAAACTGATAAATTCAGAGAATTTTCAGGGTACAATATCAATAACCCAAATCAGTTGCTTATCCATATATTATATAACAACCCAAAAAGTTATAAGAAAATAATTCCATTTATAATAGYACCAAAAATAATAAAATGCTTAGGAATAAACCTAACCAAGTAGGTGAAAGACTCATACCCTGAAAACTATAAAATATTGCTGAAAAAAAAAGAAAGAAGATAGAAATAAGTTGAAAGACAACCCATGTTCATGAATTAGAAGATGGTCTTAATTTTAGGGTATTGCTACTATCCAAAGTAATCTACTGATTCAATGCAACCCTTTCAGAATTCTAATGGCAGTTTTTTGCAGAAATAGGAAAATTTATTCTAAAATTCATGGAATCTCAAGACACCTTCAAATAGTTAAAATTGTGAAAAAAGAAAAACAAATGCATAAGACTTACATTTCCTGATTTTTGAAAYATATTACAAAGCTATAGCAATCAAAACAGTGTGGAACTGGTTATGGAGACAAATACACCAATATCCCAGAAATAAACTCTACAGAGTATAATGGTCAAATGTTCTTTAACAAAGATACCAATACTACGCAATGGAGAAAGCACAGTCTCTTTCATATATGGCGTTGGAAAACTTGATACTCATATGGAAAAGAATGAAGTTGGACACTTATACATATGTTAGTGCTCTCCAGAAAAACAGAATCAGTAGGTTATAGTGTGTGTGTGTATGTCTGTATAAAGGGATGTATCTGTATACACAGGTGTTATATATATATGCATGTGTATCTACGTATAAGTATAGTGGGAATCAGCTCATACAATTGTAGAGACTGAAAAGTCCCGTGATCTGCTGTCTGCAAGCTGGAGAACCAGGAAAGTCAGTAGTATAATTCAGTCTGAGTCTGAAAACCTAAGTACCAAAGGGCTGCTGGTGTGAGTTCTAAAGTTGTATGATCAAAGAACTAGAAACACTGTTGTCTCAGGATGAGAAAATGGATGTCTGAGCTCAAGAAAAGAGAGAATGTGCCCTTCCTCTGACTTTTTGTTCTATTTGTGTCCTTAACAATGGATTGAATGATGCCTGTGTACATTTTACAACATTTACTCAGTCCACTGATTCACATTCTGGAATAACCTTCACAGACATACCCAGAAATATTTTACCAGCTATTCRGTCATTCCTTAGTCCAATCAAGTTCATACAAAATTAACTATCACACACTGTATACAAAAATTAATTCAACCTTAGTTAAAGGCATAAAACTCTTAGAAAAAAACAAGGGGAAAACATCATGACACTGACTTTGGCAATGATTTCTTGGATATGACATCAACTTGATAAATAAGAAAAGGAGAAAATAGACAAGTAAATACCCATCCCTTTAACATGTTATATCTTTACTATGGGATAATATATAGTAGTCARAAGGATGAAAGAGATCTATTCAGGAATACTGTATTAGGATATAATATTATATAAAGGAATCAAGTTGCAGAAATAATGTGCATCATGCAATTCCATTTTGTAAAAAAGGACAAACCCAGATTATATATGGGTTTTTCATGGAACTTCATTGAAAAAATATGAAAGGAAACTAAACTGTTAATGTTGATTATCTCTGTGAGGTTGGAGAGGGCAAGAGTTTCAAGTGCAAGACGATTGTAAAATTTTCAACCTATATGCATTGCATTGTTTTAATTTCTGACTACTTAATTAAATATTGCATCTATAGTTTTTTAAAATTAAGAATGAACCAACAATTATCTGGCAGTGTCTTAAGTTTTTTAATTTTATAGATTAGCAATATTAAAAAGTGATAGAAAAGCATATGTAACAAAGCAAAAAAATAAATGAGGCTATATCAAATCTTGAAAACTTTTGTGCATCAAAAGACACAATCAATAGAATGGAAAGTGAACCCATGAATTGGAGAAAATATTTACTAGTCAACATCTGTAAGGGATTAATATCCAGATTATATAAAGAATTATAACTCAACAAAAAATCCAATAACATGATTAAGAATTAGTCCAAGGACTTCCCGTTTCTTCATATGTGATATACAAATGCTCAACAAACATATGAAAAGATGCTTAGCATCACTAATCATTAAATAAATGAAATTAAAACTGTAATGAATTTTCATCTCACACTCATTATGATAACTTCTATCAGAAATTCAAAGTAACCCATATTGGTGAGATATGGAGAAATGAACTCTTGTGCACTATTGGTAAGATGGTAAAATGGTATAATTTATGGAAAACAGTATGGAGAGTCCTTTCAAACCTTAGAATCATCATATGATCCAGCAATACTAATTTTGGCATATTTCTGAAAAAATTGAAAGTAGCATCTTAAAGAGATAGTTGCACACCCATGTTCATAGCAGCATTCTTCACAGTAGGTAAGAGATGGAAGTAAACCAAATTTCCATCATCAGATGAACAGATAAATGTAATGTGGAATTGGGTCAGGGATGTAGCTCAGTGGTAGAGCACTTTGCTTAACATGTGCTGAGGTCCTAAGTTGATCCCATACACAAAAAATGATATGTTTATACATGGAATATTATTCAACTCTTAAAAAGAAGGAGCTGGATGCAGTGTTGCMTGCCTGTAGTCCTCACCAACTTGGGAGGCTGAGGCAGGAGTATCACAAGTTCAAGGCTAGCCTCAGCAAATCAGCAAAGCCCTAAGCAAGTTTGTCTCAAAAAGGGCTGGGGATGCAGGAATTAAGATTTATGTTTCTTTTTGCCTTCTTTACTGCTTTCTACTGAGAAGACAGACATGAGAATTTGATTTATTTAAAGGCAAATCAGGAGTTGTAGGTGGAATTCATGGAGCATTTTGGAAGATTTTATACTAAGGCCAAATATAAGACTTCATGTTTGTCCTTACTTTACTATTTTCTCCTAAAAAATAATAAACATTGTTGGAAATCCTAAACTTATTGGGGAGCTAAGATGCATATTATTTTATTTTTGAAAAATCATTAATGACAGGTAATTTATAGGTGTTTTTGAGTTCTGTCACTTTACATTTAAACGTGATTGTAGGATATTAACATCAAAGTATTTCTTGTTACTCTCATAAAAGTCCTCATTTTCTTTCTTTTCAGGTTATTCTGGACTTTATGAAGCCATTGAAAATTGGGATTTCAACAAAATTGAAAAGTTAGAAGTGTACAGAACACTTTTAAGACGTTTGCAACCAGAATTTAAAAACAGAATTATTCCTTTAGAAATCCTTCCTGAACTAGCTGAATGTTTAATTAGTCAGGAATGTGAAGAAATTAGACAGGTAAGTTGACATAAAATACTAGATTTGGAGGAAATAAAATATGGGAGTTATCTTTTGTTTTCTATACTATTTTAAACCTAAGAAAGATAATTGAAACTAAAAAGAAAATCCTCGTGTCTAAGGTATTATTTCCTAGAATAGTACTTTTAATGTGAATTGAGTAATTTTTATGTCAAAGTTTTAAAGTTTGACCTATTTTCAGTTAAAATTACCTCATTACTTTTCTGAATAATGTTTAATGCAAATTTAAATAAAACTGAACTGTTCAGCAAATGAAAAAGGCTATAGGCTAGGAGTTAAGAATTTAGGCTCTGGACATAAATAAATTTTATTAAATTTGTAGCGTAACTGTGTACTAGCAGTGTGATCCTGGGCAATTTATTTAGCTTCTGTAAACATCTGTGTCTTCATGCATAAAGTGGGAACAATTATAGTACCTAAATAATATGGTATTTTTATAAGGGTTAAATGAGATAGTATATGTAAAGTGTTGATAGAAGCCTGACACATAGTATATGTGCAATAAATTTTAGTTACTATGATTAACAATAAAGTCATGTAAATCCCTCTACCCTGAAGAAAACCACTTGTTAATATTACRATCATCCTAATATCTATTTATGCCAATCTATCTCAGAGGAGGTGGGAAATCTTGGTTTGAAATAATGATATCATGTTTAAAGGACAAGAATGAAGGAAAGAATATCTTAAGTGATAGTGTTGAATGGGGTAAAAATGGCAATAACGAACACCCATAGGTCCTCAATTTGCAATGATTTTTAAATCAGATAATACTTGAAAACTCATAAATGGAAAACATTTTTGAAATAATCAATAAACTGTATTTTCCTTGCTTAGACTTGTTACAACAAGGGGATGATAGCAGGTTCAGAGAAACTGATCGAATGCCTTCTGAAATCAGACAAGGAGAACTGGCCCAAGGTTTTGAAACTTGCTTTGGAGAAGGAACAGAACAACCTCAGTGAAATGTGGCTGGTAGAGAAAGGTAGGGCGTGCCAAGAACAACTCAGAAAGGGAAGAGGGAAGGTTCAGAAACGTACTGTGCCCCCTCTCGACTCAACTTGGGACTTCCCTATTCCCACCTGTTTTTACTTATTCTCACAGGCACTTTTCCCTTCAGATACCTAAGGCTATATCTCTACTAAGAGGCCAGCATGATGCTGAGTTGTGGGAGGGAGGTAGCTACTTGCCTATGGATTTGGTTTGTTTGTATGTAACTCCTCAACATGGAACAGAACAAACTGCTGTCATCCAGAATTAGCCCATCAGGTCCAAAGAATTTGGTGCAGGCAGGTTCTGAGCTTCCAGTTTAGGTTATCAGAGAAATAGCTTGTCTACTCTTGAGTTGAAGGTTCAAACTCCAGGACTTACCTCTTTTTAGAGTACAATCATGATAGACACTGCCTGGTTTTCTCACCTGGCAGCCATCTGGGAGCGAACAAAACGTGTGAATGAAGAAGAATCTGCTGCGATTGTCTGTGCCATCATTTGGCTCCTTGAGACTGACATCTCAGAGCCTTGCCTTACAGGCTGAGTTTGGTAAACATCTGAGTGTCTAGTCTTGGTTTCAGCTAGACTTCTATTGATTAAAAGTTGTTCGGGAATCTATATAAATACACATCTACTTTCTTGGGTCAGGAATTAGTCAGAGATGGGAGACATGAATGTCTGCTAAGAAGAAGGTTCTCTTCTTTAGTGTACATATGAATTCCTTGGAAGCCTTTTTAAAATGCAGATTCTAATCCATTAGGGGCTTAAGATTTGCATTTCTAACAAGCTTCCAGAGTTACTGGTTCCATGTTTTATACCTTGAATAATTAGTTCTTTGAAAAAAAAAGTTCTTTGTGTGGTACAGGGGATTGAACCCAGGCCCTTSTGCATGTCAGTCAAGCATTCTACCAACTGAGCTATATCCCCAGCCCTACCATAATTAGTTCTAAATGACTTTGGAGTTCAAATATCAAATGGAGACTTCACACTCAAGATGATTCTCTTAATTGTTTTGAGAAGTGAAGGGATGTGGTTGTGGGAAATTAATGGAAGTTTAAAATTTTATCAAAACTATAATCAGATTACATTAAGATTCTAAGTTCTTCCTTTGTCTATTCACACAGGTGAAAAAGATATTGAAAATAAAGATCTGGAGGATGATGAAATGGAAACTTCTGAAATACACATTTTCTTCCAGGAAGATCCAGAACACCAGAATCTTAGTCAGAATTCCCAGGCACCCTCAGGTACCGGCATTGCTTGTTCTTTTTCATAATGGGGTTCTTCAGGTATTTGTGGGGGGATATATTTTGCACTGCCAGAAGTCACAGCCTTGTGATTTCTTTTAAGGAAGGTTAATAAAGAAAAGATAATTTAAGTTAAAATAGATACTTTATGGTTAGAATTGTCATTTGATTTTCTGTGACTGCTTCTTCTGCTTTTAGCTTATCTTTTTTTTTTCTTCATTCTTGTTTTATCACCAAGAAATTATTGTGGCTACATTGAATTATTACATTGAAAAGGCAGAGTCCTCTCAGAACCCCAGTGTCTGAAAAATCCAACAGCGGCCTTACTTTCTGAAAAAATACTTGTGTTTGTTAGCCACTTGTTCAGTTTCYTTCTAAGATCCCAGGGCTGCCATGCCAGCTATGTGCACTGCACAAATGTACCTGACTGAGAACCAGCCTGTAGTATTTGCCAGTGCATGGAGGGATTGTGTCCTCCCAGAGGGCTCCTTGTTCTCAAAMATCAGGCAATGTATAAGTACTTATTAATGGTCCTGTAAGGCACCCTTACTTTTTTTTGTTGTTGTTTTCTATGGACCTGTATTTATTTATTTGTATGGGATGCTGAGAATCGAACCCCGTGCATCACACATGCTAGACAAGTGCTCTACCACTAAGCCACAACCCCAKTCCCCCTTAAGTTTCTTGAAATATATTTTCATGACCATTTTATGAAGAGACCAGAAGGTTACATAATATGCCAGAATAAAATKATATTTATAAAAGGATATAAGGAAYGAAATTAGGATTAATAATAAGTAGTGTTTGAAGAAAAAAATGCAAATTTTAGGATAACATGAAAAGAAAATTTGCGTGTTACTTCTGCGACTGAGTGATACCAGTTTCTTGTCACTCTGATATAAAATGGATAACGATAAGTTGATTTAAATATTTCTGACATGTAAAGATCCTGATGTGTCATTTAAGTGAAGTTAATTCTCTTARTCTTTTAGAAATTCTCCCTTTTTAAAAAATGGGTAAATTAGACTCTTTAGACCAAAGACTTTTTAAGCTCTTAACATGTCATATTCTTACCTGGTATTGAGATAAAATCTCTGAGTATTTTTTAAAARTTTGAGAGCCTGAAAAATTACAAAGCATGGTTATTCTCCAAGAAGAAATTGCTTTGAGAATCTGTATTAAGTTTGTTTTCCTTTAATGATCTTGGAGGGCATTTTTGTCTTGTTCCACATAGTGTTGCCTATAACTAACTGGTGGTCGTCTGTCTTGCCCTGAATTAGGCCATTCTTGCTTTGCATTCTCTTTATCGGGATTCTGTATTGTTTAAGAAAGAATTCATTCCAATATTTTCCCCCTTCTTGCCATTGATACTTTGGCATTGAGAGAAAATTCTGCACTTCAAATGATTGGAGAAAGCTAGAATGGTTAATGAGACAAGATTCTAAGGAGATTGAGACARGATAATCAACCAAAACCTTTCTTGCTATAGTCAGATTCATGTCCATTTGACTWCAGCTAATGCCATGATTCCTTAGAGCAGTAACCATTGGTAATTGTTTTTCCTTTTGTATCATAGAAATGTCTCGAACTAACTTGAAACCAAGAAATTACCAACTAGAGCTTGCTTTGCCTGCTAAGGAAGGAAAAAATACAATAATATGTGCTCCTACTGGTAAGCCAATCACTATTACTCATACCTCTCTGCTCCCTTTCCCCCTTTAAAAAAAAAAAAAAGATTTATTTATTTATTTTTAATTTGTTCTACTTAGTTGTACATGATAGCAAAATGCATTTCAATTCATTGTACACAAATGGAGCGCAACATTTCATTCTTTGGTTGTACCCAGTGTAGAGATGCACTATTTGTGCAATCATACATGTACTTAGGGTAGTGATGTCCATCTCATTCCACCATTTTTCCTGCCCTTATAACCCCTTTCCACCCTCCCCTTCTTTTTTCCCCTTTTATTGAATACTGGCAATAAGGAAGATTCAGTTTTTTTCCTGTTCCATTTGTCTTTGAGAAAACTATCCTATTAATGTAGTCTCACATATTTTAAGGAATTTGAACAATGAAATTGAACAATGAAAGAAAATGAATTTGAACAATGAAAGAAAAATGCCCTCTTTTAGTATGCTTTTGATCCTGGTTATTCAAGTACAGGTAAATTGGGAAGTAGCTTGATTATTTTTTAGTTATAGCTTAAATTCTGCAGTCGTTCATCCCTCTAAATGATCAGTTTACTTACCTGCCCACTGGTGTTAGGAGAGCCAAAAGAAATACCTTTCYATAGCACTATCTAATACCATGTTACATGTTTTCTTTTTCCTTGTTTATTAAAAGGTTGTGGGAAAACCTTAGTTTCACTTCTTATTTGTGAACATCATCTTAAAAATTTTCCACAAGGACAAAAAGGGAAAGTTGCTTTTTTTGCTAATCATGTCCCTGTGTATGAGCAGCAGAAGTTTGTGTTCTTGAGCTATTTCGAAAGGCTTGGGTAGGTATAACAGTCAGTCCAACTTCTTTTTTCTACCTTTAATCAATGAATGTGTTTTCTGTTTTGCTCTTTTAAAGCCACAATTAAGAAAAATTGTAATAGAGATTCAGCTTTTATATAACCTAGATGTAATTCAGATTGCTTTTGTTAGATATGCCAGAAATCCTAATCTGATTTGCTCTTACAGGGTGATTAAATGATTAATTGATAAGTTTGACATTTAAATGGCACATTTGATTTCTTTGATGATTTTATAATTTATTTGACAGTTCCCTTGTAAGTACTTTTTTTTTTCTTTTAATGACTTGAAAAAATAATATATTCTATCAGTTATAATGAGTTTGCATTGGTCAATCACTTGCTCTATGTCAGGATATATTCTTTTTGAACTTAGGGAGAACTTCATCAGTTGCTCTTCTGATCTAGTGCTTCATCTTTGTGTTTCCTCATTCAGGAGGATGGTAACATAGGATTTCTGTCTCTTCCCAGGTACAGTGTTACAGGCATTTCTGGAGCAACAACTGAAAATGTCCCAGTAGAACAGACTATCAAGAACAATGACATCATCATTTTAACACCCCAGATTATTGTGAACAATCTCAAAAATGGAACTATTCCATCACTGTCTGTCTTTACTTTGATGATATTTGATGAATGCCACAACACCAATAAACACCACCCATACAATATGATCATGTTCAATTATCTAGATCAGAAACTTGGAGGATCTTCAGACCCACTGCCCCAGGTATCTTCAAAGTCAGATGTACTCCTCAGAAAAGCTATTATCTTCCTAAATCCTCCTTTACTTACTTTTTTTTTCTTTTGGTACCAGAGATTGAATTCAGGAGTGCTTAACCACTGAGCAACAGCCCCAGTCCTTTTTTGTATTTTATTTAGGGACAGGGTCTCAGTGAGTTGCTCAGGGCCTTGCTAAATTGTTGAGGCTGGCTTTGAACTCAGTAATTCTCCTGACTCAGTCTCAGTGCCACTAGTATTATAGGTATGTGCCACTGTACCCAGGCCTATTTACTTACTCTTGTGGCTACATTTGAGGTTGTTCCATGTCCCTTTGGACATGAAAGGCTGACTATACGCATCATGCACCTCTCTGTGCCTTACATTGTTCTCAGCACTGGGGGTGCAAATACGTAAAGAAATAATTCTTGTCCTCAAACACCTGAGTTTTCATGGGGAGACAGATATGTAAGAATTATGTCACAATTTATCATAATGGTGTGTTGTGGAGATAGGTATAAGCTACAGCCAGAACAGGAGTGAAAATACTCCTATGTGTGCTAAAAAATGTAAGGCAAGACCTGACAGAAGTTGGGTTAAGTAGGACTTAGAGGCTGAGGCAGGAAAATTGCAAGTTCTGGGATATTTCAGCAACTTAGCAAGATCATCTCAAAATACAAAAACAAAAAGGACTGAAGTTGTATCTCCGTGATAAAGGGTTCCTGAGTTCAATCCCCAGTTAAAAAATAAAAAAGGCAGGGGGTGAGGGGCTAGGCAGAAACTAATAGGAGTTTGCCAGGTAGATGGCTGGATGGTTTTCATTAAGAGGGTGCTCTGTGTCCAGAGGCAGAGTTCTGAAAGAGCCTGGTGTGCTCCAGAATCTTGAGATTCTTCAGTGATACTTGCGTATAGAGTGTGAGGTAGGGAAAAGCAGTAGGCAAGGAAGAATGAAAGAGAGGGGGCAATGCCTGATAGAGCAAGATGCCTGGAGACACCAGAGGGTGTGGGGTTAGTGGGCAAGTGGATGCATTAGTGTGGGAGGAGAGGAATGACATGTTTGATGTCATATGTCGATTCAGAGAGTCATTATTACATGGATTAGGAAGCAAAAGAAATCCCTGGTGTATAACTTTTCTTTTGAACATTGCTGAGTATCATCGATATATGAAAGGGAGTGGGAGCTGGGGAGAGTGGAGAGAATTTCAAATCTGAGGGAGAACTGTAAGAGACACTGAAAAATTCCTTGATTGTATGGGGGACTCAAATGTGGTTGGAAACTATGAATTTATGGTATACCAGTCTGCACATATGTCAAGTTCAGCAGCCCTAATAATTATCCATCTGGGGAGTGCAGGTTAAAAGAAATTKAGTATGGTGCTCACAGACCAAAACTAGAACCTTTCCATATAAATCACCTTTCTTATAGCCTATTCTTCTAGAATAACTTTGATGTTAATTACATTTCTTGCTGGTTAGATGGTTATTCAATGATTATTGCACAGCTGTTGGAGGGAGGTATCGTACTAAATCTGCACAGATACCATTGCAAATAAATAGCTATGATTTCCCAACTTTACAGAGAGCTGCAGGTGCTTGTCCAAGGACACACAGTTATTGTGACATGGCTGAGATTGGAATGGATTTGTGTCAATTTCAGTCCTTTTCCTTTTCAGTATGATGTTCTCCACATCATAGGGGACACAAGGCAAAAGAAAAGAGAATCCTTGCCCTGAAAGTTTTCCCTGTCTCAGTTTCTAGGCTGCTTAGTGTTTAGCTGAGCTGCGACTCTTGTATTCATGCTTTGCCGATTGGGACCTTTTTATTTGTAATTTCATAGAGAATGTTAGGGGAAAAAAGCTAATGTTGGAATGGTCTTACAGGTTGTTGGGCTGACTGCCTCAGTTGGTGTTGGGGATGCCAAAACCACAGATGAAGCCATGCTTTACATCTGCAAACTGTGTGCTTCTCTTGATGCAACAGTGATAGCAACAGTCAGAGACAACTTGGAGGAACTGGAGCAAGTTGTTTATAAGCCCCAGAAATGTAAGTGGTATCCAAGAACAAGCTCTTGGGAATTTTTAACACTCTCTGCTACCCCTAGTTCAGGGTGATTTACAGGAACACTGAACTTTGGCCCTTTGTTTGTTTAGGAGAAAATATTTAAYCCCAAACCTGGGAAACAGTCACATAACATTTCCAGTCTTTCTTCATGAGTTGTCTTCCCTCCCAATGGATAAACATTAGAAGTGGCCTATGAGGAGCAAAAATTTCTACTTTGGCTCCATAAAACCCAGATAAAGGTCCTAGCAATGTGAAAGAGATGATGAGAAAATCTAAGCAGGTAGAAAGCCAAAGGCTGGCCTAGTCCTTCCCTGTGCACCATGCCTGAGTCAGGTACTGTGTGGTCATCATTGTTTAAATACGTATCTGAGGGCTGGGATTGTAGCTCAGTGGTRGAGCACTTGCCTAGCATGTGTGAGGCACTGTGTTTGATCCTCAACATCACATGAAAATAAATAAAAAAATAAAAGTATTATGTCCGTCTATAACTAAAAAAAAAATTTAAAAAATATGCATCTGATAAATGTAGTTGAAATTATCTGAATTCACCTTCTTTGTCCTCAAAAGATCAGAATATTATCTTTAAAATAAGATTGACTCGCAAATGTTTGTTGTTTATTGACTTTATTATTATACTAATCCTGCAAGGGCAAGAGAGATTCAGGAGATACACCCTTGCTCTCTGAGCAGCACAGGACTGTATGAGTCTAAGGCAAAACAAATACTTATGTAATTGGGAGGACACGGGTAAGTTCCTGATGGGGAACAATCTGTAAGGAATGGAGAGAAGGTACCCAGCGTTTTAACATCACGTATAAATTTCTTTGTAATCTGGCCCCTCCAGCCTTCTGAGCCTCCTCTCTTCCCAAATCCCATAAACCCAACCATGTTGCATTCCTCTGGGTTCCCACACGTGCCATGAGCTTTCTCCCTTTGAGCTCTTGCCCATGCTGTCCTTTCCCCATGACTACTCTTGCTTCTTTCTTTCTTCCCATAGTTATTCAACAACACTGCCTCCCCCCAAAACATTAGATATTCTTCCCCTGTACTCCATGGTACCTTGCCCCTACTTAGGTTACAGAACTCTCCTATGAATGCAGCCCTCTATGGAGCATGGGTGTGTTCTTTTCAACTCTCTATCACCAGAACATAGCACATGATAGGCAATTAATAAGATTCTGCTGAAAGAATACAACGATGTGTGGACACTCTTGGGGGCTGGGTAGGAAAGGAGAACAGCAAAACACAGAGACAGGATTCGAGTGTGCCACTTGCAGAACAGGAGGGCTTTGGCTTGTCAGAGGTAACAGGGCAGCTGAGTGAGAAACTAAAGCATGGGGAACAAATGTCAGAGTCAGTGTGGTGAGCAATAGGGAGCCAAGTTTTTTTGAGCATTTGTTGTACGATTAAGACCATCTGCCAGTGAACTTGGGATCTCTAATTTTCCAGAGGAARTAAAAGGTTTGAAGATACCCACTTTGAACTATGATTTGTTCTTCCCTAAAAATACTTACTTGCCTTTGATGGTTCTAGTTTCCAGGAAAGTGGAATCACGGACTACCAACAAATTTAAATTCATCGTATCTCAGCTGATGAGGGACATAGAGAGTCTGGCAAGGAATATCTGTACAGAATTTGGTGAGTTCTCTTAACTCTCAGTGAGATAAGTCTCATATATTGTGTCCCTTCCATTGGAATAGCCATAGAGCATTCACTAGTGGCTTTCTATTTTCTCTTTCATTTAGACAATGTCAACACCAAATTTTTTTAAATTTTAATTTAATTAAATTAATTTATTTATTTTTAGGTGGACACAATATCTTTATTTTATTTTTTTTAATGTGTGCTGAGGATCGAACCCAGTGCCTCACGCATGCCAGGAGAGCACGCTACCACTTGAGCCACATCCCCAGCCCCAGATATGGACTTTCTTAATCATAGGTTATTCAGGAGCCGAATAAGTTCTCCTTTATTTTCTCTTACCTGTTTTTCTTTTTAAATGTCATGTAAATTGTTTGGACATGCACATCTTGAAAAATACATTTAAATCAGTTCATCAGCTTTCTTGACCTTCCAAATTAGCTTTCCGTACTGACTTTCCTATTTATATAACATGAAACCACCATTCTCCTGCTGGTGATTAAAACCTAGAGGTGATTTAAAAAAATTATTTTTTAATTGTCAATGAACCTTTATTAAATGTGGTGCTGGGAATCAAACCCAGTGCCTCAAATATGCTAGGCAAGTGTTCTACCACTGAGCCACAACCCCAGCCACTAGAGGTGATCTTTGATATATATATATATATATTTATATATTTTTTTTCATTTGAAACTCCCTCGTGGAGTAACCAAGTTCTGTCCTTCCACTTTTTATTCATTCTTCCATTCATGAAATATTTATCGTTCTAGGCACTGGGCTAGGCAACGGAAATATTGAGATTAAAGATAAAGTCCCACAAAAGAGAGAGAAATAGAGAGAGACACACASAGAGACCCTGCCCTCAGGGAACTCAAGAGTCAAATAATGGAAATCTGATGCAAATAGTTGCCATGGGGTGAGAAGTCTCACACTGGGCAGCACAGGAGCACCTGGGAACCTTGTCCTGGACTGGGAAGGGCTTTCTGAGGACCTAAGCTGAGAAAATTCTTGAAGGAGTCAATCATGTCAAGGAGAGAAGARAGTGAGGTTGGAAGGATAGCAGGCAAGGAAGGAAGAAAGAACAAAATGAATTCTAGGAGCTTTTTGCTTTTACCTTTCTTTCTTACCAAGCTTAACTTAGGACCCATTCTAATAGCCTTATGGCAATTGTCCCACCTTCACTGTCTCTTCCATTTCATGTTCCATTCATTGGTTAGTTTTCTTGACATACCAAGTTTATGTTCATATAGCCTTTTGCCTAGGAAATAATTGTTGAACTCTAATGCGCATGGCAGACTGCTTCCCTTTATCTTTACAATTCCAACTTGGATTTAGCAGTTGCTTGAACATGTTCATTCATTCTTTCAGTGCTAAGCAACGTGCTAGGGAATATAGTGTGAAATCCTGAGGTATAGTTTCTGTCCTCATGAAATTTCCAATCTAAGGGTAAAGCCAAAATTAAGTAGTGAAGCTTCTGGATTGGCTGGGTGCTGATCATCAGCCATGTTTCAGGCAAAGGGAACTCAATCTGCAAAGGTCAGCAGACTAGAGAAAGTATGGGGAATTTCATTAGTCCTATAAAGTGAAAGAAGGGAAGTGGAGTGGCTAGAGGTGAAAATTAAAAGTAGGCCAAGGCCAGACACCAGAGAACCCTGTTCACCCTTTGTGAATAGAGGCACTAGCCTGTTTTTACTATAATGAAATACCTGTGACTGTGTAACTGATAAAGAAAAGAAACTTATTTAGCTCATTGTTTTGGAGGCTAAAAGCCTAAACAAAATGGCACAGGCTCTGGTGAAGGTCTCATGGTGGATGGCATTGGTGCAGGAGTACATGTGAGAGGATGAGATCCCATCTCCAGACAGGAAGCCAGAGTAGAGCCAGGGAGGGGCTTCTTTTTTAACAACCCTCTCATAAGAACTACTTTAGTCCCTTCTAAGGGCAGTGTCTCCTCCTAGGCCCCATCTCTTAACATGGCCACACTGGGACTGATCTTTAAATGCATGAGCCTTTTGATAGACGCTTAGCCATATCTAAACCATAGCACCAGGGTAGGAGTTTGGCTTGAGGAATCCATTGGAGGCGTTTATGCAGTTGGGTAGCATGGTTTCTCACCTGAAATTTTGTAAACACCCTCTAGCTTMTGGGTGGGGAAAGAATTGAGGAAACAAGGGAAGAGGTGGGGAGAGCAGTTCATTGGTCATCTGGGAGCAAGGTGACATGGTGAAGTGGCAGAGGAAGGGAGAGATGGGGTGGAGTCACATGATTTTCTACTTTCTTATTCCTCTAACCCCTGGTACATTGCCTTCACCCTTTCCATTGTATCCTTTCAATTGGTCATTTCCAAATTGCTTAAGTTGTTTTTACAMCTATCCAATTCAGTAAATACTTGGTGGTTCATCTAGTTTCTGTTGGCCATCTTGTTTGTCACTGGGGCTAGGAAAGAGGCATGTTACATGTTAGAGCAGTCTCCTTTGTTCCTCTTTCTAAAAATGAATGGACGAGGGGAATTTTAATGTACTGTTCTCATCTGGAGGAGCCCCAGAGAACTGATATGTTTCAGGCAAAGGGAACTCAATCTGCAAGACCAAGCCATTTGAAAACAGCCCAGGCTTTACCTTCCTCATCTTTTTATCCTTAGCCCTAAACAGGGCCTGGACCAWAACAGACTCTGTTTTTGAACCAAGGAGTTGAGGCTTAGCTTAGGGGATGCATACATACAGAGGCGTCCGTAACATGCATCTCTTGAGTTCCTGTTATGTCTGGCCCTCTTATTCTGTTTGACTGCTCTCTGGAGATCAGATGGCCTAAGTTCACAGCAAAGCAGAGCAGGCTGTGTTGAGTCCTTTTGTACATACTCCGGTGAAGCTCTTGAGACCTGTTATTTTTACTCACTGCTTCTTTATTTTTAAAGGCAAAGTCCTCCTCCCACCTCCCAAGTCCATTGTTGTATCTCTGTGATCCTTTAGTTGTCATAGCCAATAGAATTAGGGCATCAGACACTCTGGGTTTGAATTCTGGCCCTCCCCACTCTTTCTATCTGTGGGACTTTGGTAAATTACTTAGCTTTCCTGACTTCCTATAAACAACTAGAAAGTGTAATCTCTACCTCATRAGTTTGTGAAATTATGAAAGTAAGACCCTGTGATTCTTGGTACATAGTTGAGGACTCAGTAAATAACCATACGTACACAGAAACACACTGCTTAAGGCTCAGACTGTTGCAGGAGGCATGCCCTGTTTAAAGATAGTAAGAAAGGAAATCAGAGCATGGGGCGTGCTAGAACCTTAAGTGATTGACCATATGGCACAGTGAAAAGCTTTTTTCTCCTCCCCAGGAAACTTATTTCAAACTCAAAATGGGGACTTTGGAACACAGAAGTATGAACAACGGATTGTTGGAGTTCATAAAGCAGGCATGGTGTTTCGACTGCCAGACAAAGAGGAAGAGAGCAGGATTTGCAAAGCACTATTTCTGTATACGTCATACTTGCGGGTATGTTACTTCTTTTGAAAGGCTATTTTAGTCATAGTACCCTCTGGGAGCTGCACTGTGGTAGCCGAGAGACTATTAACATTTATCTCATCCTCTYCCCAAGAGCTCATTTAGGAATCTTTGATTTGAAAGGAAAGTTTGGAGCCAGACATGGTGGTGCATGCCTGCAATCCCAGCGACTTGGGAGGCTGAGGCAGGAAGATGGCAAGTTCAAGGCTAGCGTCAGCAACTTAGCAAAACCCTAAGTAACTTAGTGAAACCCTTTTATAAATAAAATATAAAAATGGCAGGGGATGTGCTCAGTGGTTAAGTGTCTCTGGGTTCAATCCCTGGTGAGGCATTATTTCTGAAATGATAATAGTGAAGGCAACAGGACTGAAACTTGACCATCACTTCAGCAGTCCCATGTTTGACATGGTTGGGAAAAATTGGGTGATAATAAGAGGACATTTTCTTGATATGTGACCAGTAGTAGCCATCTTTAAAGCCTATGTGAGTCCCATTGCCTGAACTTGTGATTTCTTGCTTCTGATAAAGTCCCGTGCTCAGAAATCTAGGGTCTTTGGTTAACCCAGGAACAACAGAAATAATCATCACCTTTGCTCATTATGTCACTGAAAATATTTTAAAATGCATTCARTTAGCATGTGTTTGTAGAATTTTAATTATCTTAATTGAATTGGTATAGTGGTCAGTAATGTCATTCTGAAAGGTGTATTTATGATTTAGAAATTCAACTTCAGAAATTAAGTTGAATGTTTGAATTATAATGTAGGTGTAGAAGTTGATATGCTTTTGTTGTTACTTTTTATGATATGCATTTTTCTTGAGTTTCTCTACCTGCCCCCTCTTGTCAAGATGGAATTTTAAAATTGAAAGTGCTTCTAATTACTTAATGTTTCTAGCTAACTGAGATTTTTAAAAACTGTATTTGGCTCAAATTTTGATTATAGAACCATCAGGGAACATTCATCTAAAAAACCCAACTGAAATAGACTTAAAAACGAATTCCTTGTTAAGGGCAGCTAATTGAATTTAAGCTGGGCAAATGTGTTAGACGATGGAAATATATTGAAAATCAGTTTTTATTTTAAACAGAAATATAATGATTCCCTCATTATCAGTGAGGATGCACAAATGAAAGATGCTCTGAATTACTTGAAAGACTTCTTCAACAATGTCCGAACAGCGGGATTTGATGAGACTGAGCAAGATCTTACTCGGAGGTTTGAAGGTAAGGGGTGTTTTCTGAGAAGGAAGCCACCAGAGTCTGGTAATTCTGAGTGGCAACATACAGACATGATGTTGTATTTAATATACATAAGTTTGGTGGTGCTCAGGCAGTTGTACTGGGTTTAAGAAGATATTATGGGTCTGGGGTGTAGCTCAGTGGTAGAGTTCTTGCCTAGCATGTGTAGGGCAACAGTTCAGTCCCCAGCACTCCAAAACAAAACAGTGGGACTGGCTTCAGTGAGATCTCATACCTATGGAGAGATTCGGCTGCTGAAACCATTACCTATTTGGAAGAAGGAAAAAAGTAGAATTTGCAAAGTATAATTCTCATAGARTTGATGACATTTTTTTTAACTTTCAGTGATTTTTATAAAAGTTAAAAGAATACAAATAAGTATTCTAATGATCTTTAAAGACTATATGTATATATACCTCTATATGAAGAGGAAATCAAAATGACCCTTAATTCTACTGCCCTCATATTATTACCAAAAATATGGAAACATATTAAGTGAAAAATTTTCTTCCTCTTTCTTTCAAATTTCTTTTCCCAAAGGTAATCATTGTTGTTAATTACCTTGTCCTATACTGAAGTATTTACTATACATATGTATACCTAGTGGTGTGCTGTGCTGATAAACATTTAACAGTTTTCTGGGAAGAATGTGTGCATATATTATACATAAGTTTGTTATAAATTTTATTGATACAGAAGCTATATAGCATGTAACTTACAAATAATAAATACAGTCTCCTTGATTGTAAATTCTACATAGCCAGTTGACTTGTATAAATGGCTTTTAGTGGTTTTGTAGAATCCTGGTACTCATTACCAACTTATGGTTGTAGCTAACAGACAAATATACTTCTGACATGGATGTTGGTATATATTTTCATTAATGTTGGGAGTAAGATGGAAATGAAACAACAGAGACATTGAAGCTTCACTTGTTTGTCAAGGATCTGAGCAGTTTTTTTWAAAATTCTGAATTGGACAATAGTTTTTCAAACCCTGGGAGATTATGTTTATTATTATGATTATTATTATCAGTGTACTCTTAATAGCTAAGTTTGATCTGCATAATTTTCTCATTGCTTTCATAAGTCTAGATTGTCAAGAATATAGATCAAGCACTGATTTTCACTGTTTCCTGACTTTTCTGGTATCAGTATTCCCACTGTCATCAAGTTCAAGCCACCAACATGTTGTCATCAAATGAGTGACCAAAAAAATGAACAGTGCACACCATTCTGTAGTATCCCTACCATATAGACACAATAGATGTAAATAATTTAAGAGCATATTATAGTAAAAAGTAATAAAATAATTAAGAGATGTGAGTATGGGCTATTTATTACCTTCATTTTTTAATATGTTATTGAGTGGCAAATGTATATCAATTATATAAATTTTAATAATCATTGTATTTAAAGCTAGCTCATGCAACTCTCAAAAATGTAACAATTGACTATCAGTCTGGTATGATCTGGCTCTAGCACACCACGGCTTCATTCATACATGTATATGTATGTGTATACACACACACATACACACACACACACACACACATATGGCATGGTACTGAATATACTATCTTGTATTTTGATTTTGTTTTTTTGGTACCAGTGATTGAACTCAGGGCACCTGACCACTGAGCCACATCCCCAACCCTGTTTTGTATTTTATTTAGTAACAGGGCCTCACTGAGTTGCTTAGTGCCTTGTTTTCCTGAGGCTGGCTTTGAACTCTCTATCCYCCTGCCTCAGGCTCCCGAGCCACTGGGATTATAGATGTGCAACACCGTGCCTGGCTGTATTTTGATTTTTTAATCTAAAATATCTTTGAAACCATTATGTATGTATTAATCCCTTATAAATTTTTAAAAATATTTTTAAATTATAGATGGCCACAATATATTTATTTATTTATTTATTTTTATGTGATGCTGAGGATCGAACCCAGTACCTCACATATGCCCGGCAAGTTCTCTACTACTAAGCTACAGCCCCAGCCCAATCCCTAATTAATTTTAACAACTGACATGTATAGCCCATCATGATCTGTTGAACTGTTTCCCACCTTTTGGGCATTTAGGTTGTTTTCTAAATGAAAGTATTGTGACTATTCTTGGAGATATCTTCCATAATTTTCTAAATATAGTGATATTTCAAATTCTTAGATATAGAATTATTGTATCAAAAGTTGTGTGAGTTTTTATGTTTTAATGGATATTGCCAAATGACCTTCCTAAAATGTACCAACTTATATTGGTAGTTGTTTCTTAGAAAATTTTGGTCTAAGATTGAGAGATTAACTGAACTTTTAGGTCACGATGTGTTATAAMTTTTAAGAATTTTGAAGCCATTTGTAAAGTGTTCTCCATTTGCAGAAAAACTGGAGGAACTAGAAAGTGTTTGCAGAGATCCCAGCAATGAGAACCCTAAACTCAACGACCTCTGCCTCATCTTACAAGAAGAGTACCACTTATATCCAGAGACCAGAACCATTCTTTTTGTGAAAACCAGAGCACTTGTGGATGTAAGCCTTCCTTTTTCTTGTGAATGACAAATTGGCCTAGTACCATGTGAAAGACTGCCTTTTACTCACTGCTCAGCAGTCAAGTGTCCATATGTGTGTGAGTCTGTTTCTGGGATCTCTATTCTGGTTTTCTGTTTGTTTATTCTTACATGAATACCTCACTATCTTAATCACCCTAAATTATAAATCCTGAKACCTGTGGATTAAGAACTTCGTCTACCCACACAGAAAATTAAATTCTAGCCATTCTATGGATGTGTAATGGTATCTCACAAGAATTTTGATTTGCATTTCATTAGTGATTGAGATGGCTAAACATCATTTATATGCTTTTTAACTTTGTTGGGGTATCTGTTCAGTTTTTATTTTTTRGTGCCTATTTTAAATTTGGATTGTTTATCATCTTATTGAGGTTTTGATTATTCTTTTTAATGTTCYCACAAAAAGTCCTCTGTGAGACATGTGATTTGAAAATATTTTCTTCTGGCTTATGCCTCCGCTCACCCCGCCTCCTGTCACCCAATTTTCTTAACAATAGCTTTTGCAGATTGAAAAGGCCAAAGATTAGTTTATCAATTTTCTCTTTTCTGGATTTTGCCTATGGTATATCTAGGAATTCTTTGCTTGTATATGGTCCCCCAGATTTTCTTTGTTATCATTTAGAAGTTTTATAGTTTTATATTTTATATTTGGGTCTATAATCCATTTTGAATTTTTGTATGTGGTTCGAGGCATGGGTTGAGATGCTTTCTTTTTCTTTTTGAATATGGACATCCAATTGTTCAGCAATGTATGTTGAGACTCCTTTCTCTATTGAATTGCCTTTGTAACTTTTTTTTTTAACCAAAAAATCAGTTATCTGTATTTGTTTGGATCGATTTCTGGATTCTTTTCTCTGTTCCTTTGTCCATTCATCCATCCATTCATTCATTCATTCCACAACTGACTTGATTACGGTAGCTTTATGATGTCTTGAAATGGAATAGTGTAAGTCTTCCAATTTTTTTCTAAGTTGTTTCAGCCATAATCTTTTGCCTTTCCGTATACATTTTAGAATTAGATTGTCCACATATATGAAAATGCTTGCTGAAATTTCACTTGGAATTGCATTGACTGTATAGATAAAATTTGGGAAGAAATGGCATCTTAACAATATTGAGTCTTCTAGTTTAGAACCATAATATATATCTTCATGTATATAGGACCTTTTATTACTTATATGTTACTAAGTAACAAATTAGTCCAAATTAATGCTAGGGAACAACAAACATTTATTATATTAACACTCATGGATCAGGATTCTGGAAAAAGCAGCATTTCTGGCTCAAGGTCTCTTGTATAATGCAGTCAAGGTGTTGGTCATGATTTCAGTCATTTTTTTTTCTTTTTTTTCTTTTTTTTCTTTTATTTATTATTGGTCTTTCAAAATATTACATAGTTCTTAATACATCATATTACACGGTTTGATTCAAGTGGGTTATGAACTCCCACTTTTACCCCGTATACAGATTGCTGAATCACATCAGTTACCCTTCCATTGATTGACATATTGCCTTTCTAGTCTCT